GACGCTGAACGCACCCATCAGCACAGTGCGACCGCCCTACAAACTATCGACCCACCCGTACTCAGTGCATTGGCGGGCGCACGGATTCTCAGTCCCACAATTTCGGCAGGCTGTCAACACCGACCATCCCAACTCTGAGGTCCGAAAGCGAGAGTGAAAAACAAAGATCTACGCACATATAACCATGTCATGCCCAGCCAGCCAACAGCAAAGATAGAATTAAAGACAAACAGCAGCACGCAGCTCACGACCTGTGACCCGCTACCTTTGATGCTCCCCAGCACCGCGAGGAGCACCATTGTCAGACACTGTCCGACCGCGCCGAAGAGCATGAGCTTTCGTCGACCGACGCGATCGATCAGGAAGATAGCAATAAGAGAAGCAAGGAAGTATTCCGTGCCGTTCGCGGCAGCGATGATACGGGACGTGACATCAGAGAGGCCGAGACGTTGAAACAACAATGTCTAGAGAACAGTGGTGAAGCCATGAATCGAAAACGTAGCTAACAAACTGACGGCGTAGCTGCCAAGAATTCAATGAGCCTAGAACGAGGAATGAAGGTACCCTAAACGCACTAAGTGATCAAGTTAATTCCGGTTATTTGCTGGAAACACTGGTTGATGACACCCAGAGAAGCCCGTCTAAAATTTTGAGTACGGCCACCGGTAAATAGTTCTCTTAGCTGCGAGTGCGAACTCTTGGCTTCCTTGTTAGCACCAAGGCCGGGAGACCCTTCCTCGATTTCTACAGCTTCGCGGATGGCATGATACGTCATTTGAACCTCGGGGTCACTGAATGGTTTATCGTCTAATGCTGAAATGACAGCTGCAGCTTCGGCATTGCGTCCGTGTTTCATGAGCCTTGTTGCATCGATTGAGTTCTATGTATGAACGATCCCAAGGTACCTACCATCTTGGCGATTCCGGAAGCTGGAAACTGGTTACCTCTGCATATACACAGGGTCTGAACGCTTACGAAACCAATCCCAAAGATCATAACTAGAGCGAAAATGATCTGGAGCGCGATGGGGACCCGCCACTGGGCAGAGGATGCAGATGCCCAGTACCTACGACCTGTGAATCACAGCATTCCTTCGAGAGATGGGACATACAACGCGAAATCAACCCACTACACAAATGGGTCGTTTAGTTTCTCTAGAAACGCGTCAACAACGACCATGGCTCACATAGCTGTACCCAACGACATCAGAAGCCATCCAGAGAACACTTCAGGGAATACTACGTACGATATCATGATACCAAACGTGATGAGACTGCCTTCGATCATAATCAAGCTGCCTCTCTTGGCAGCAGGTGAACACTCGGCATGATAACTGGGCACGGTGGACGTCTATGTGACGTCAGCGGACGTACGCGACGGTTCCAAGGGTGTCCACCCACGTTAAGCCCGTTCCCGAGACCGGTGATGATGCGCGCGACGACGAGCTGAGCGTAGCTATACGACGTCGTTTGTAGGATGGCGCCGACGATCATAATGCAGCCCCCAACGACGATCGTCTTTCGACGACCCAGCCGATCACCAAGCCATAGGTTGGATAGAGCACCAATCAGACACCCGATTTCCTGGAGGGGCCCACGGCGTGAGCGTGCTGCATTGCAGGCGAATATTGACCTCCGACATACATAGACGGCGACCACGAAACTTTGCAGCGTCGCGTGATTGGGATGGCTCGCATCCACGACCACCTGCGGGAAGACCTTTTCGAACTGCGCTGCACGTCAGCACACGTAAAGCGAGGAGAAGCCTTGTGGCAAACCTGGCCGGCTGTCAACAATGCCGACATGACGCCTTGATCGTACCTACAGACCCATCCGTCCGATTAGCTCAAGAGTACGGTATGGGTCCACATCTCCGATTAGAGGCATACCCAAAGAGCGTAAACCCAGCCCCTGCAACAAACGCCAACGAGACCGTCAACGTCCTGCCTCGTAAAGACAAAGCATGCCCCTCTACATCTTCCTCTCGGAGCCCAGGCTCGGATCTTTCAATGCCCATCTGCGACTTTTCTTTGGCATCCGGATCTCGCAAGCTTAAAGCAGCCATGTGCCAAAAGCGACTTATTCAGAGGGTGTGCAGGAGGGTGGGGCCTTTCTCACAACCTGCCGTACCTCTGGAACGATTCTAGATATAGTGATTATCAAATGCATCCGGCAAGAACTGTTTCCGAGAAGCACCAAGTCGCACCAGGTCTGTGTCACATGGTACGGTTGGGTGGAGTGCCGGTTCGGAAGCCAAGCCGCATCACTCACCTGACGCAATGGAACCCATCATGGACCATTTACTAATAGGAAATCACGAGTTCCCCTTGTCACCACAAAAGAGGCTAGTCTTTTTTGTGCGGTCACGAAGCCAAAGTGTTAAATTATACTTCTGGCGCAAACTTACAGCGTTAAGGTTATGGACAAGCATGGTCCAGACTCGCGTAAGGCTGAAGTGGCTCCGCATCAAGGGCAGGTTTTTCCTTGATGACCAGTGTCGATAGCATGGAGATTACACGTCCCAATAGTCTCGGTTCCTTGGTGAGGTTTCTGCACCGATATTTGAAACTCAGCTGTCACCATCCGAGACTAACGTCCCAATCAAGATCAATGTGTAAACAGAAGCAAACAAGTCCTGCTCGAATCGTCACGTGGCCGGCATGTCTTTTGCCGACTTGAAGTCCAAGAGACAACGGAAAAGCTCAAAGTCGTATGTATCTACGTTGAGTGGTCCTGTCGCACCGGTGCACACGCGGTCTTCACCCCAAGTTTCAATTTCCAATGATGCAGCAGTGGACACCAAGGGTCTTTATCCACAGCTCCCTCCTTGGCTCGAAATCAGGAAATCAGACCACTCCGGGAGGTGTTTGTGGACGCGGCAACATTTCAAACCTGGTACGATGATCTTCAGATAGACTTTCATGGGCGAATCCGTTGATGTATTATCTGCCGCGCCAAGGGTCCATCATCCTGTCTATAGCACCGCATGTCTTCGTCCTCTCTAATCAATACCTCGATTCGCATTGTTCTTCTTGCGCCAAAGCCGAGTCGACATCTCCCCTCATGCGCTGCTCCGGCTGTGGGACGCTAAGGTACTGTAATAGCGTGAGTTCTTGAGCATTCACGCAGACGCAACATATTCACCCTCAATAGGGCTGTCAAAAGGCAGATTGGAGCTTGCACAAACCCGAGTGTAATGCGCTCCAGAGATGGGCCAAGACAGCTCCGTTTGCTGCGCTGGGTGTTCCTAATGACGCAGTCCGATGTTTGGGTCGTATTTTATGGCAGATGAAGTCAAAGGGTCTGGATAGTGGATGGGTTAGTCACCTCGTGCCCGTGTTCTTTGTACATCCGATCGCTCATGTACATCTTCAGTCCAAAGAAATACAAGCAATGCAATCCCGTGGGTGTCCTATACTATCATTATTCTTTGTCCCGTCGCTGACAGAGGTTATATCCCAGACAAAGTAGACCCGCGGCAATCTGCCTCCATCGAGGCTCATACCCACTTGGCGCACTCCGTGGTTAGATACCTCGGTCTGACAGCGCCATCTGGTCTTGAAGAATATGGCATCATGTCTACAGGCGACCTTGTCAACATGATATCGAGGGTGAGGATTGAGCACGCCTGCCATTATTCCCATGTTTATTCGGTCCGTAGTTCATCACGAACACATTCGCTCTGACCTCGCCCTCACTCACACCCAATGGTGCCACTGTGTCACCACTTGTCGCACTTACAAACCATTCGTGCCTCCCAAATGCAGTCGTTGTATTCCCTCGTAGCGGTAAAGCCAAGGAGAAAGAACCCGTCATGAATATCATCACTTTGCGCGATATTGAGGCTGGGGAAGAGGTATATACCCCACTCCCAGACTTACGACCAGTGCTCAATCTTCTTCTTGCCCTAGGTGTTGATGGCTTACATCGACACGACTCTCCCAAAGGTGCAAAGACAAAAGACACTCGTCGAAACCTACAACTTTACCTGTCAGTGCCCGTTGTGCATGCAAACTACCGCTGTCATCGACCCACGGGAAGCCGTTTTGTGTCCCAAGTCGTGTGGTGGCACCTGTCCTTTTCCAAATGAGGGTACATAGATATTAATGATGACTCAAGCACATCTTCTGACCCAGAACGACAGATACAATTTCTCGGTGTCTTGCATGTAAAGCTGCAGTGGCTGATCCTCATGCTGTTATCGATGCAATTCGCATTGGACAAGAGGCACTGGATAAAGCAATACGTCTCCAGTCGAGCGGTATAGTTCTTCATTTGCCATCCATGTAATTCATCACGTTCATCGTTTCGTAGATGCCAACAAGGCAAAACAATTAACCACGCACATGATCCCAATTCTAGTCTCTGCAGGTTTACCACCCTCATCTCACCCCCTTCTAGCGCTCTTAAAGTTCCATCAGTCGTTATTGTTGTCCTTGTTCTCCCACCAGAACTCACAAGACCTCTTAGACGAGAGTATACGTACTGCCGCCAAGCACGTCTCGGGGTTATCTGCCGTGCTCGACCAAGGACATCCCGTACGCGGCATTGCACTCGCCGAGCTAGGCAAACTGCTTGCCGTTGACGAGCCATCGCCTGCGTCGCTGGCCCAGACGACGTCTTTCCCTCCTAGCGGTCCAACGAGGCTTAAGATCGCCTACGAGACGCTGGTGCGGGCGAGGAACGAGTTACTGGTTGGGTTTGGTCGGGAGAACGAGGGCGGTGAGGTGGGTCAAGAGATTAGGGAGAGTATTGTGGCACTGGAGAAGGAGCTTGGGGTGTGGACGACCGGGGTCCGGAATGCGTTGGAGGACATTCCAGTGAGAACGAGCGGTAAGACCTAAGGAAACTTTTCTATCTTGGTGAACTGCACTGTATCTCCTCTAAATCTCATGGGGAACGCCTTTTCTTCATTTACACGCTGTTATTATCGGAGTAATAGAAGAAGAAAAATTGAAGGTGTTATTTCTGGAGCAAAGCGATAAGGACAGCAAAAATTGTCTCTCTGGCGGGGAGTCGAACCCCGCTCTCCCGCGATCCAAGTGAGAACACTTGACAGGCGGGTGTACTGTCCGATATACTACCAGAGACATGTTATTTGCGAGCAGGTCTGGCATTTGAGTGGTTGCGGGGAAACCTTTAATTGTGGTGGTGTGATCTAGCGCCCATCTACTAGACCAGGAAGCGGCCACAATACGTCATGATTGCGGCTAGCTCATCCACCTTGCGTGTGACTCGGACGTTTGTATGTAAAACTGGTTCACACCCTCGATCTCGGTTCCAAGCTTCTTTTCGTATCCTGTCCACTAACGCTCGTGGTGACTTGCCTCGATCCCACTCGATCCCATGTTGTTGTTTTCCTATCTGGCACACCGACGAGCTTGGTAAGGATCCCCTTATCACCGCACTTATCTCGATTCAACCACTTTCCTCCTTTGCAGCAATGACAAGCAAGGCGAGCGCGCCGAGCGAATCGCCTCCCTTCCAGAGGTGTACCACCAACCCTTGACACCCCAAGACAAGGACATCCTCTCCCGCCCAATCTCCACCATCGTGTCCGGCGTTCAGACTGCGTCGCTGAATCCGTCCGACGTCCTTGTGGCGTACGCCAAGCGCGCGTTGCAAGCGCACGCCCAGACCAACTGCCTCACCGAGATCATGATCGAACAAGCCGGGGGATGGGCTCGTAGCGCCAACCGTTCCGGTCCGCTCGCCGGCGTGCCCGTGTCCCTCAAGGATATGCTCGCCGTCAAGGGCTACGATTCGTGTATGGGGTACTCTGCAAAGAGTGGTAAACCCATGTCGTACGACGGTGCCTTTGTGAGGCTCCTTCGAGATGCAGGCGCGATCCCGTTCGTCAAGACCAACGTACCCGTGACCATGCTCTCGTTTGAAGCCACGAACGACGTATTTGGCGTGACAGAAAACCCTCACAAGAAGGGGTACAGCCCGGGTGGGTCGTCGGGGGGCGAAAGTGCACTTCTCGCCCTGGGTGGTTCCAGGATTGGTGTGGGCACGGATGTAGCTGGTAGCGTTCGAGCGCCATCGCATTATTCAGGGGTATTTGCGATCAAGTCGAGCATGCATAGGTTCATAAAGACCGGGAGCGTGACGAGTATTCCTGGGCAAGAAGGGGTTCCAGCTACGCACAGTCCTATGGCGAAAACACTCGAAGATCTCGAGACATTTTGGCGCGCCGTATTCCAGATGAAACCATGGGAGTATGATCATTCTGTGAGCGTTCTCTATTTCCTGTTTCCTAGGCACTTATCATATCGCAGGTCCTCAATATTCCGTGGAGGGAGGTGAAACTCCCCGTCGATAGACCCCTTAGATGGGGTGTGTTGTGGGACGATGGTACGTGTTGTCTCGTTCCCGTTCCGACTAGGAAAACAAAGCAGGATCTAGGTGTTGTCGCTCCCTCGCCTGCGTGTCTCAGGGTGCTCCAAGCGGTGATCGACGTGTTACAGAAGAACGGACACGAAGTTGTAACCCTGTAAGAATGACTCCTCTCTGGATAAATGTAAATGTGCCTAACATCTAGTCAGAAACCCACCTAGCCCATACGAGGGGCTTCAAATTGCCTCTCAGCTTCTGTTGGCTGATGGCGGCAAGACTGCTGCAAAACCACTCCGATCATTTGAGACGAACGATCCAGGAATGGTCCCAGCATTTCGTGCCCTCAGGTTACCGCGTTTCATCATAAAGATCTATGCGTGGTATCTAAGATGTGTTCGCCGCGACCCAATCTATGCTGGTCTGGTAGACAACTTTTACGAGAAGAGTGTCCCAGAGTACTATGCACTCATAGCGAAACGTGAGGACTACCGTGCGCAGTGGTTCAAGATCTGGCGTGACACCGAAGTAGAGGGTGGACTGGGAGACAAGGGTGTCGATTTCGTCCTCACGGTGCCAAATGCATTGCCAGCCGTGCCCCATCGGGGGATGCGCCACGGCTGGAAAGCGTGCGGCTATACTTTTCTGTTCAACCTGGTGGGTAACCGGGAAAATGGCTGTATCGCACTTTTATGACCCTTGATGCTTTAGCTTGATTACAGTGCAGGGGTGATGCCGATCGGCCATGTCAAGAGTACTGATGTGGTTTCAGGTTCTTTCCGAGCCCGCAACGCCATCGAACGGGAAAACTATCGTATGTACGATGCGAGTGCGATGGAGGGTCTTCCGGTGGGCGTGCAGGTCGTCGGTAAACGTCTAGACGAGGAACGTGTGCTGGAGGGCATGAAGTTGATCGAAAAGCTAATGAAAGGTGCTGGCTTGGCCTATGCCGGGATTCCTCTGTAACGTATGGCATGTGGCAGTACTGTGCCAGCAGGCTTGGTGCAGAGTGACGATGTTTCCGCCTATCCAGTCGTCCATTCGAATCCCCGCAGATGTCAACGTCAATTCGAGATGCAGTCAACTCGCTATCAGTGACAGGCTTTTTTTTAATCTTGCATTTTTACGCGCACGCGACGACAAGATTTCAGACAGCGCGATGCTGACATGGACAATATGCGTGAAGGCATCGACTACGTGTGACGTTGGACAGTATCAGACAGTATCTCGGGCGCCGGGTGGGAGGGGAGGGGCTTATCAGAAACAACATCGGCTGCATTTCGGGAGGCCGTCAGCGTCAATCCAAGCTCCAAAATCGTACGCGTGTCGAAAAGAGGTTTTAAATCACCGCCGGGCGCTGCAGCCGCTGCTTGGCCGGAAACCCGAGGCCTGAGCCCTGCTAGTTGGCGCGAGCCCAACATCGCCATATGAATGGACCCGTCGGAATGGCGTAAGAGTCCAGGAGTGCGATCTATCCTCTCCGGCGGGCTTGGCCCTGCCCTAGTTCTAGGAACGAGGTCATAACTGCAAGTCGGACTTTGGGGGGGGGGAAGATCATCCACGGGCGTGACCTGGCATAGTCATGTGGACCCATCGTACGGCGTATTGCACGTATGTTCATGAATATGTATATTATTGACGACGTGGCCCCGGACCGTCAAGGGGCTGAAAAAGGGGGATAGACCGGTAACGTCAATCAGACATGGTGTGGCGTTGGACGCTTCCTTAATACTTGCAAGGGGGGTCTTGCGCGCGGGGTGTCAAGATCAGGGGTAAATAACAATATAAATGGCAGTCCATCTCCCCCACATTACGTCAGATGTAGGATTGCCAATTTCGGACACCAACAACTGTAGTGCACAACCTCGAGGAGTCAAAGAAACTCCAGCAACGGCTCCAAGACAAACGCGACGTTGAACACGAAACCACAGCATCATAACAGAGCCGAACTACAATCAGAAAACATGGTTCCCAGTACCAAGGCTGAAAACCGAATAACTCAACATTCACACGGCCGAGTATTGATAGGGGGAGACAAGACGGAGTAGGAAGCACTGAGGGGTCCAATATTGCTATTGTCGTCAAGGAGCCACGAGTGTCATCGCGGTTACGAGACCATTGTGCACGATTATTGACGGTAGATCACGATGCAGCGGCACCGTCGTGTTTTATTCCCCTTCTCCAACAACAGCTTCTTCTTCTTCCCCGTCCACCCTGACTTCATTCCCGACAAGCCCGCCAACCTCGTCGGTGATATCGCTCTCACTCTCCGGTGGAATCGGCTCTGATGGCGGTGGCTCGTTTAATTCGAGCAGTGGCTCAGGGGGTAGTGGCGACTCGGATTCTGCAGGTGGTTCCGTATCCTTGGGTTCTTCATCGCTAGACAAGGGGATGGGATCGACAATCTCGCTGACGGACTCTGCGATGCTCTCTTCTGGTCCGGGTAGGATTTGTGTCGATTCAGTCAATGCCTCGGATGCGGCACCTGCCTCTTCCAAGGGGGATTCCACAACCTCGGAGATGGAGGGTTCATCGGTGGATGCGTTTTCTTCGGGTACATTTACCACTTGAATGGGCTCTTCAGGACCTGATTCGATAGCTGGGGCGTCAGGAGGTGGTCCTTCCTGCGATGGCCCCGATGGCAACGCCAGAGCGGCCTCATTTAGCGTGGCCACACTAGACGTGTCCTCGAGTGAGATGAGTGAGAGTTCTTCAACCGGCGGGGATAAGGGACCAGCGAGAGTCAAGTCAGAGCGAGCATCACCAATATCTTCGTCGTCCGAATCCTCCGCTCCTGACTGAAGGTCAGGCCAAGACGGCTCTGGGACCAATGACTGGGTTTCAGCTATTGGTGAGGTGCCAAGTAAGCTTCCGCTATCGGACCTGCCACCATCTTCGCTCCTTGACAGTTCCTCGGCCACATTATAAGCTTCGCTAAACACCATCGTGTCGGTTCGACTGCGGCCGAGTCTCCGAGGGCTATCTGTTCCAAATTGATTGGCGGTGTCCACCGCCCTTGGGCGACTGTCGGAAATCAGACCGACGTCGGGCACCAAATCTGCCGTGATTGTGTTATTTTGAAGGCTTTGTGTGGGATGGACTGCGGCGGAGAATAAACGAGGGGGCTCCACTTCCTCGGTGTGACCCTTGTCATCGTGATGGATAGCGCTTTCAGGAATGACGAGAAATTCTGCAGGGACCAAATCAAATTGATTAGTGAGTTTGAGGAAGCGAGCATAAAGCGATGATTCGGCTTCCGCTTGCTCGAATGCTTCGCGATGGTGAAAATAAGCATGAGCAAAAATTCTGCCGAGACGGCGGGCGAGAGAAGAGAAGTGCCTGTGTGATGTTGGTGGAATTGAAAGCCTGGTCGGTTATGGGAGCCCAGACCGGAACGGGTCAGTACGGCGAAAAGGTGGATCAGAAGTCGGCTGAATATGTACCTGGAAGGGAAGGCTCTCGGAGAGTTCAAGAGAGCAGTAGCGCTGTCGACAGTATGAAGAATGTAATCAATCGCACAGCATTGCTTTAAATCAGGTGCCATCAGAATACAAAATGGTTTACTGAATCGGCAGGGTACGGACCTCCATAGCGCCGTCATTACCGTGAGCAACACAAAGATAAAGCCACTCTCCCGCCTTCATTTGAGGACAGGAGCTCCGCGTGCACTCTTGCTGGAGCATCGTAATCAGGGGGTGCGAAAGGTCTTGGGCAAGACGGCTGTAGGGCACGATTAATACGGAAGGTACACGTA